TTGGCAGCACTACTACAGCTGGACAGAGACTCCCTCTTTCCTTTGGAGCCAAGTGCATGGCTGCCATGGAAAGGGAAGCACTCTGCAGACTGTGTGTTTCACCCTCATCCTACTTGTTCCAGTCCTGCAGGCACAGGTCTCTGTTGGTGGCCATGGCAGGGATTAGAAGTCTAATTAGATGGGGAAAGTGGCAGTGGAAAAGTACCCTTCAGATAGGACTGCAAGGAGAATACTCATCCTCAGTTCCAGGTCCCAAGGTCCTAAGAACTAGACCTGACTCATGCTAGGGGAGTGCTGTCATGGTCTCCTGGGGCAGTGAGGGCAGGTTTCCCTGGTCATGCCAAACTGCTGTTCCTGCAAGGCACGCAAGAACATGCAGCCAGCTGAGCCAGTGCCCTGGGTAAATCTCTCACCTTCTCTTCCCATCCCAGGCAGGTGATGCTTTTCAGGAAGAGTCCACAGGAGTTGCTGTGTGGTGCCAGCCTCATCAGCGACCGCTGGGTCCTTACTGCTGCCCACTGCCTCCTTTACCCACCCTGGGACAAGAACTTCACCACAGATGACATCTTGGTGCGGATTGGGAAGCACCAGAGAACAAAGTAAGAACTTGAATGGGGGAGGGAGGGGGAAGCAGATAGGAGTCCCCCATGAGTGTAGTGGGAAAATAAAGTTGGGGTCTAGAGAGGATGTCATCTGGCATTATGGGAACCCCCGTGGCGAACCAGACTGTCAGGTGCTTCCCCAGGTTATAGTGGGTTCCCGTGGAGATACCACTCACTGAGGCTCTGCTGATCCCAGAGTCTAAAGTGAAAGGGAGGGCAGTTTGCACCCCTCCCAGGGCCACTCTTTCTTGTGAGAAGGATGGTGCTGCAAGCCAGCCAGAGGGCCAGCAGCCCCCAGAGCTCACAGCTGCTGCACAGTCACTTCTCTCCTTCCGTTGGAACCGTTTCAGGTACGAGAAGAACATAGAGAAAATCGCCATGCTGGATAAAATCATCATCCATCCAAAGTACAACTGGAGAGAGAACCTGGACCGAGACATTGCGCTGTTGCTCCTGAAGAAACCCATAGTCTTTAGCGACCGCATCCACCCTGTCTGTCTGCCCACCAGAGAGCTGGTGCAGAGGTGAGGAGGCTGGAGGGAGAAAGCAGCCCCAGAACCCCAGGGAGCAAGGCTGCAAATGTCTCCTTTGGGTCTACATGAAGGATCAGGAAAGCCCTAGCAAAAAGCAGGATGCATCTTTTGTGCTGGTTTGCAATAGGGGAGCCAGTTGGTGAGGTGCCCCTCCAGAGTCTGGGCAATGCTAGGCTATAAGGGTGACATGTAATATTTCCATGTGCTTTAACCTTGCTTCTTCCTGCAGCCTGATGCTGTCAGGATTCAAAGGGCGGGTAACTGGATGGGGAAATCTGTATGAGACCTGGAGCTCTGGCACCACCGCACTGCCCTCAGTTCTGCAACAGGTGAACCTCCCCTTAGTCAGCCATGATACCTGCAAGGCATCCACTAACATCAAACTCACTGAAAACATGTTCTGTGCAGGTAAGTGCTGCTGGGTGTGCAGAGCTAACTGCTGCACATGGGGGCAGTGATGGATGGGTCAGTGGGCAGAGTTGCTCTCGGCACCATGTGCCATAATGCAAGGGCTCACTTAGCTTAATTACTGTCCAGTAAACGTTGATCTATCCTAAAGAAATAGTATGCCCAGGGCATGAATGAGCCTCTGGAATTCCCAGCCTATGTAGGAGATGAATAGGGGGACCAGACAGCAAATGTGAAAAATTGGGACAGGGGATGGGGGGTAATAGGAGCCTATATAAGAAAAAGACCCAAAAATCAGGACTGTCCCTATAAAATTGGGACATCTGGTCACCCTAGGGATGAAGAATTTAGAGCCATGAATAAGGTTCTTGGGGATCAGCTGGTTGTGAGAGATGAGATAGAATGGGGCTTGGAATTCTCCCCTCCTTCCTGTACAGAATTAGCAGAGTCTAGCATTAGGGGATTCCGAGGGCTTGGCTGTAGTAGTGGTCAATACCTAGGATACTGAATGTGAGGGAGTGACTGCCTGAGCCTGTTTTACATAGTGCTTCATTCAACTTGCATTGCTGAAAATATTAGTGTTAAATAGCACCAGCTGAGGGCAGAGACTGCAGCATTTGGAGGCAAGGAAACAGACTTTTAGATAATGAAAACAGAGGGAGGCTGTTCCAGAGCTGCAGCAGAGAGCCCTGACCCTAGCAGTGGTGATATCAATAATATAGGAAGGGGTGGGCAAACTTTTTGGCCCGAGGGCCACATATGGGAATAGAAATTGTATGGCGGGCTAGGAATACTCACAAAATTGGGGTTGGAGGGGGCGGTGAAGTGTGGGCTCTGGCTGGGGGTGAGGAGTGTGCTCCAGGCTGGGACCGAGGGGTTTGGAGGGCGATCAGGGCAGGGGCTCTGGGGATGAGGGGCTTGGGGTGCAGGAGGGTGCTCCAGGCAGGGACCAAGGGATTTGAGGGGGGATTTAGGGGTGCAAGCCACAGGCAGCACTTATCTCAAGTGGCTCACGGAAGCAGCAGCATGTCCCTGCTCCAGCTCCTACGTGAAGATGTAGCCAGACAGCTCCCATTGGCCACAGTTCCTGGCCAATGGGAGCTGCAGGGGTGGTGCTTGGAGTAGGGGCAGTGTGCAGAGCAGTCTGCCCCTACCCGTAGGAGCAGGGGGGCTATGGCACTGCTTCTGGGAGCCATGTAGAGCAGCCCCCGGCCCCACTCCCTAATGGGAGCTTGAGGGCTGGATTTAAATCGGTGGAAGGCCATAGTTTGCTCACCCTGCTATAGGAAGAAATCAGGTGAGAATAGCAAAAAGTCTTTTAAGGGGAATAGAATACAGCAAGGCTAGGGATGATCTTAAATAAGGGTAACTGGATCCTGTAATAAATAGGGGAGGGGATTAAATGAATGTGAGAAGACTGACTGGATTTTGCTCAAAAAACCTAGGACTTAGAGTAGGGACCTACAATATCCCAGGCCAAAGCTGTAGTGTGCGTGGGAGGGAGATCACAGTAGATGGGAGTCTGGGGCAGTGTACCAATCCAGGGGAGAGGAGATGGAATTAAGGCAGCACTGGAAACAGAAGGTGGGGATGGCTATAAGAAAGCACCTTTATTTGCTCTTTTCAATGGAAAGATATTAATCAAGTAAGCGGGTAGCTTTATGATGACCAGCACAGAGGGTGAGTAAGGGCATGTTTGGAAGGGCCATACTGTTAGTACCATTTCCCAGACTTAGCATCGGTGTAACATTAAAGGTACAAATGAAGAAGTAGAGAAAACAGCCCTTTGCCTCTTCTCCTGTAGGGTACAGTCCTGAAAACTCCAAGAGAGGGGATGCTTGCGAGGGGGACAGTGGGGGCCCTTTTGTCATGAAGGTATGTGCAACAAGCATGGTTGCTTTGCTCATAGGAGACTTTGGGAGGAGGTTGCCACAGAAGCCTTATAACGTTAAGAGGGCTGAAGTGATAGTGGGGAGGTGTTCTCTCAAATGGCTGCAGATGCAGTTACCTAAACAGTAGATCTATTTCTGGTTTTGAACCGAAGAGAAAGCCTGATTGCATGAAGCTTGATCATTCTCAGACCACCTGTGAAGAGTTTAAGGGAGTGATAGCTTGCCTGAGCAGATCTACACCAAGTGGGTATCTAGCTAAACAGGTGACTGTTAGTGCTCCCATCCAACTGGGCTACAGCTATCACTGCTGAGCTCTACCTAGCCTAGCTGGAAGTCTAGACTGGCTAGGGCACAAAAATCTCACTGCTCGAGGGTAGCACTGTGTAGAGCACTAATTTATTTTCCTATCTGTCTCTGTAAGAGCCCAGAAGGAAACCGCTGGTATCAGGTGGGGATCGTCTCATGGGGAGAAGGCTGTGACCGTGATGGTAAATACGGATTTTATACACATGTATTCCGCTTGAAGAAATGGATGCTAAAAACCATCAACAAATATGGGCAATAAAGAAAGCATCTGTCACATCTCAACTCTTACAGCTGCTTTAATGTGTAGCAATATGAACACTAAGGAACCTGACGTAAAATGTCTAGAGGTATTCTCTGGCACCATTGCCAATAAAATGGTTATAGCAACAATTGTACCTGCTTTGTATGTTGGCAGTGCTGAAAACAGAACTTGGTTCCATCCAACTCTAATCTGTGTAATTAGCACCCTAGCACCAATAAGGACATGATGTGTATTAAACAAGTCAGCTTACCAATCTTTACCCCTGCCCCTAGAGATAAGCAAGTCACATTATCCCAGTTTTAGACAGAGGTAATGCCTAAAGTCACAAACCAAGAGACCTTGATTATGTGTTCCTTGTCAGTTGTAGAGCATCAGCTTCTAGCAACTAGACTGAGCCTACAGAGAAGAAAACACTAAACTGCTACAAGGGGGCAGTTAAAATGCTACTATAAAAAAACCTCACCCTCAGCAACAGGAAGGCAAGGGGCAGCTGTCCAACAACTCCAAGGAAAGGGTATTGTATGAGTAGAAGACAGGGAAAGCCCCCTAAACAAATACCTACAGTGTTCATCTTCGAATAAGCACTTTGCTAGTTAGGTGGCTGGGGCTCTTAGCTAGAACCACCACTTTGCACACACCCCACACACACTGCCCCAAAATGGCCTGTTCTCTGACCATCTTCATGTGTTGACAATGTAGTCAGTGTAAACAGTTGGTTGTGCTGCAAGGGAAAGATTGCATTTTTGAAAAGGGATTAGATAGTAGGTTAAGAAGATGGTTACTTAGTTTTTCTGAACTGCTGGGATGTAATTAAACCCATCAGAACACTGGACTCTAGGCTCCCTCTCCCCCACTAGGTAATCTAAAAGTCATTCCTACAGCAGTATAGTGAATCTGGGACAGCTAGTGTGACAAGGCTGAGAGCAGCACCATATGGAATAAGGGAACACTTTAAAAGGGTCAAATTCAACAAAAAACTTACAGGGCTATCAGGTGCTTGTTTTATACATTTAATGGCCTCTGCTTACAAGAGTCTGGAGTAAAATGTCCTGACTATGAAAACAGTTGTCAATTCTAATGTACTTAGTCTAACAGTAGGAAAATGAGGAAAAAGACTAGTTCCATGTCTGGTACAGTCACTTTAAAGGCAGACTTGTTACACACTTGTTTTGAAACAAAATTTAACTAATGGGATGGAAATATCTGCAATAGGCTGATTAGTGTGCTTTTTTTAATTAACAGCCTACATTTACCTATCAAGTAATTCCTGGCCCAACCATACACCATTAGCCAAGAATAAGCTATACTGCAGAAGCAACATAGGGCAAAAACCTTAGATAATACTGGTTTCTACCATTGATACTTAATTGCTTCTGAACTTAACATCCAAAATAATATGAAATGTAAGTTAGTGTTGTACAGGTTTACAGGCATTCCTTTTACTTCACTCACTACTGCACCAATTGGTAATTACAAACAGAGGATGCAGCATTTTACAACATATAGTAATGTAACAGCAGAACTGAGTCGGTCAGCTACTTTGAGACTTTGTGCAAAAGGCAAACCATAACCCAGAAAGTAACTGGCAATTTATCAGTGCAACACAGCACTAATTGAGTGATGACAGCAGTGGCTCCCATTCCAGCAAACACAAACTGTCCAGCTACACCCTGTCAACACTTTGCCCCAGCTGCAGATTGTCTGAGTGCTCTGTCATACCCTTTTCAATGGCATAGAGCTATGAGGCCACCCTCTGCCTAGAATTATTTTCAGAAGAACTCGACAAAAAGCCTGGCAGGAATAGAACAGGGGTGAGAAGTGATGGACACCAGCTGGCCACTAACATAAGATGGGGATTCCTTCCATACTACACAGATTCACTCCAGGCACTAAGTAGCAGGTTACTGCCTCACTAGAACTCCAGCCCCATCATTTCTGCAGGAGAGAATTGCAGAAGCTGCAGCACAGAATTGATGTACAGACAGTAATGATTTAAACTATATTCTTCAGAGATGCCTTAAAATTCAGCCAAGATTAGTTAAATGCCAGCCCTGTGGTAGGAACTGCTGGCTTAGAGAATAGATCATGAAGCAGCACCTTTTCAGGGAGCAGAGATGAACCTAGAAGCAGAAATATACTACAGAAACCCTCTGTACCATGAGTATCACAGGATACAGCTCAAAAACACATGCAAGTCATATTCCATAACAAGTGTGCTGAAGACAACCATCACATTAAATAGTAAGCAGTCAATGCAATATGGATCAAAATTTTATGCCCAAGGATTTTTGTGGGAAGTAGTAGCCAGAGGAAATGTCCTCTTACTAATCACAACCAATGGCAACAATCTTCAAAAAGTGGTATTACCACAGAACTTGTAGACATTTTGATTTTAGCATGCCATCACCCTAAGCAGATTCTTATAATTGCAATGGTGGTTCTGTAGGCTGGGATGCACTTGCATATACACAGCTACATGATGGAAAACCCCATGAGCTTTGACTCCTAGCTGAGAGTATTTTGAACATGGGACGCCGCTTACCTATTCTGTAAGAACATTTCTCTCTCTCAGTAACCTCTCTTGAAGGGGGCAGATGTGTCACTGCACTTATTCACAATGGGGACTATGCCTGCTCTTGGGTAGTGACTTCACAGGGCCTGTAACTTGAAGTTGCTAGATAGACTAACAAATGTCTAGCAAAGTCAATAATCCCTTTCTACTTCCTGAATGTTCTTAGGAAGAAGTTGAAAGGCAGCCATATTAACAGCAACAATACTGCTGGTAGAAATAAAAGGCTGAGAAGTCCAGGGTTCCCTTCCAGGAATAGTAGCAGTAGCAGGGCAGGGCAGGGCAGTCCATTGCTGTATTCAGCTCAAGAGCTGCTGGTTTCAGCTCAGCAATACCCATTCACTAGCATCTAAGAATACACAGTGGCTTCTATTCCCATGGACAGTCACTGCTGCTCCTACAGGGACTGGTATAGTTAATGCAAACTTTATTTACAAAAGACACTTAAATTAGTTACGCCATGCCATGCGTCCATACAGAATCAACAGTTCAAGGATTACATGGAGAAGAATTCACAAAATTAAAAGTGAAACCACTAAAGAGCTTCTAAGAGTTAAGAAAAGATCTTAATACAATTTTACAAATAAAAAAACCAAGGTATGAGAAGCTAGTCTGAGCAGGAGGACAGCTGTTTACAGGTCTGTACACTACACCTAATACACAGACAATCTTCTATTGTCAAGAGATGCTCACTGAGAAGCAGAGTATGTACAAATACTTGTGCCACAATGACTCAGATCATCCCCCAAAATCCACTGTATTATACATAAATCAGTTTGTATACACTAGGCCTAAATGAGGCCCCTTTAACTATGAAGACTTCTAGTTTAGTAAACTAAAGCTGAAGACAGCTAAGCAGCAGCCATGCTCTCTCTCTCTCTCTCAAACAGCTTCATTTGCGACTGCTTTTTATTCTCTCCAGTCTTTTTTTCAAGTCATCAATATTGGCTGCTGTGGAAGAGGAGGAAGAGGTGGTGGTTCCAATGCCAGAGGAGTGAGTCTGATTGGAGTCTAGGTCCAAATGCTGGTAGTGCTCCCGTGACTCACGGAGCTGAGAGAGCTTACTGTGCAGCATATCCGTGGAGGATGCAACTGTAGGGGCTGCTGGTTTGGACAGCAGTGATGTCAATGGTGGTCTGTCTTCCTGCTATGGGGTGGGGAAAAGGAGATGTTATTTAAGACACTGGAGGGCAAAAGCTGCGCAAGAAATCCACACCATAAATGGATGGCTCCTCTCCCTCATGGGAAACATGCTGAACAGAGGAAGAAAAGGAGCAGTCCAACATTAGTACAGTGTATACGTTCCAACTCCTCCATTTCCAGGACAGATTATATGTAAACTATTGCCATGGTGCATTAGCTACTTGGAACCAGGAGGTCACCATTTTGTGTTAGTGGTGCCCAGAGTGAATCGCATACTTCTCATGATCACTTGCATTAAGCACAAGTCTTCTGAATTACCTGTATGTATGAAAAGCTTTCTACATGTTTGGGCCTACCTACCTTAGAGCCTAAATCTTTGCTTAATCACTTACTGCTTCTCATCTCAATTAACTAAAGGAGCCAAAGGTCTGCACTATTGTGTACTACTTAGGATTTAAAGCGAAGCCCATCCTCACACAACAGCTCTCATTCTCTTCAGAGATGATAAAAATCAGTTCCCATTTCATTGGGAAGGCCTGCTGCGATCCTGCAAGTCTCCCACTGTATTTAAACACTCAGTGTAGACAGCGGTGCTCCCACATATGGCATCATGAGGACTCACTGAGGAATTCTGAAGTAACTGAGCAGAAAATAAACTTGGGATTGCCTGACAGAATTCTTCTGCCATCAGGTGCTTCAGAGTCAAGTCACTGCTCTCCTGGGAATCTGCAGCTACAAAAGTCAGTGACAGAGTTGAGTTTATGTCTGCACCACATGCCATTTTGCACTCAGCTGTAAACTGATGTGCATGTCCTATCTTAAAAGGTAAGGGTAGTGTTTTACCTAAATCTATACCACCTAATCCTTGTAGCTATTCCTGGAGTTACCAGTGTGTCTAAAGTGGCTGGCAGTAACCATCTTTCAGTGTGTAACTAAGATTCCCAGAGAGCAGTGGATGTAGTGAAGGTTTGACCCATTCCATAGGTTCCTGATGTAACGTACTGAGCACATTCAGCATTATTGCCGTCTCAAAATCCCATGTTCCCCAACCACACAGCCCTTCATTCATGCAGCTTTTAGTTGTTGTAGAGTGGGAGGGTACAGCAGTTTAGAACACTCACTGTCATGTGACCCAGGAGTACAGCTTAATATAGGCATTACCTTTTAGAGACCAGAAGGTAAGTCATTTAGCTTTTCCCTGAAACTCACAGTTAATTACCTGACAAGAGAAGACAGACTCCAGAGTTGTAGCGGCTAGTGGTGTCTACATCAGTGCAGCAGACAAAAGGGAGTTGAAGCACTAACAAAGTCTATTCAGCCAGGTAACGGCTTTAAAGCCATTTACACCAGGAAAGGTGACATGCAGTCAGATGGCAAGGACATGCAGTAAGACTCATTGGGATCAGAGTCTGGGCACTGTACAGATCTCCAAATGACTGGCCTCACCCAAAGTGAGCCACTTCCCTTGTAGAGTTTATAGGGGTCTTCAGAAGTACAATACCTTTGCATTGTCAAGGCCACAACGCTGCCTGAGGATTTTTAGCCTTTCCAGGTAGACTGAAGGCCCCACTTCCTCCCCATTTGTGTTTCCTATGGATGAGGACACTGTGTTGGTGGAAGTGGGGACACACGTTAACTCCGTCTGAGGAGAAATTCCTAGGAAAGGGAAAAAGAACACACTTAAGCCTCTTAGTAGCCTCATACAGTATGCAACAGAACAATCTAGAGCTTGAGACTACATCAACCCACATTGTGCTCTTGGAAATCCCATTAATCAATTATATTTACTGATAGGGCAATGGGTTTGAGAGTTGACAATGATTAGCCCATTTTTTGAAAGAAGTCAAGCCACCATAAGTGAGCAGCAAAGCAGCTCCAAAAGGTAACATGCTCTGGCCATTAATTGGAACAGCTGAAGAGGCTATTGTGGGTCATGAGTAGCCATTAAAACCAAATGGTAAATTGACATTACATGAGGGAAAGGCTTTGATGTTTATCCTTTGCTCTTCAGTGCAGCAAGCCAAGTTAGAGGAACACAGAGGACTGAGAGTCCTGTGGCACCTTTAAGACTAACAGATGTATTGGAGCATAAGCTCCAATACACAAAGTGGGCATTCACCCACTGAAAGCTTATGCTCCAATACATCTGTTAGTCTTAAAGGTGCCACAGGACTCTCTGTTGCTTTTTACAGATCCAGACTAACACAGTACCCCTCTGATACTTGACAGAGGACTGAGGTATTCCTCAATTGACCTAAACCCACCCAGTATTCTTGTGCAGGAAGCTTAAGGGCACTGCTTCTCCCAATTCCTTTTCATGTAATTGAGAGTGGTGAAAGAGCTTCCAAAGATTCCCTTTCCCTGTAGCCTCCACATATCAGACAGACTTTATCAAATTAATGAAAAGAGCTCTCTCTCTTCATGGAATGGAGAAACTAAGAAGAGAGACTGAGGCAGAAGGTTGCCTTGGATCTTTAAAGTTGAGGGAGTTTAGGTACATATATGCTCTCTACCCACAGGAAACACTGAGTCCTGAAGTATTCCTTTTAGCTTTTAAATGAAGCAAAGCAATATGATGAATGCTGTTTGGAAGGCTACATTGCTGAGGTGATAGCTAGCACATCATCTTTTGACTGTGCAGATTTTTCAAGGTGGGGACAGAAGTTAGTTCTGCATTACCAGCAGCATTTAGGAGGTTCTGAGAGACTCAGTCACTCCTTCTGCCAAAGCTTGTGACAAATTACTTGGGGGAAGAGGGAGTTAAGGGGAAAGACCACAATGGGCACAATGTGGGATCTTCTAGGAGCAAAAGGTCAAGCATAGTATGTGCCCCTTACTATAAGAAGCTATTCTACTGCTATGTTTCATGATTTCCTAATGGGATCTGTAGTTTTATTATACTGCATTTTCTTAATTACTGGAGTGTGCTTACGGACAAATTTCCGAGTTCTGTTCTACTGAAACACTTCACTGAGCAAGTTGAGACATCTGAAATTCAGAATTCAAGGGAGCAAGGATTTAGTAAACAAGATAGCCCATTAAGCAGGCCTCTGTGGTGACCAAGCTTTGAATGGAGAACTGTGACTATCCCCTGGCTTCCTGGGACATTTACAGGGTGACTTAACAGCTTACCTGATATAGACTGCTCCTACTAAGGGTTGCCAGGCTATTCCTAGCCAAGATTGGGGAAATTAGAAGAAAAAGCTATATCTTATGTCTGCTGTGTTGATGTGAAATATACGAAGTTTATGCCTTGCTTCAGTCTGACAGTTTCATGCAAAGATCCTATGACACTATTTTAGCGGCCCTAAAAGAAGAGAGAGAATTTTGCAGCTGCCACTGTGATGTCCTGATAGTATGCTTCACCAAGGAAGCCTAGCTTAGGATAAGGAGAACGTCACACTAAGTTACTGCAACAAGAATCGCTTGCTTGCCAGGCCTTCAACACAGGACTCCAGAGCACTGT